AGGAATGTCGCTCATCACTGGTCTCCACTCAGTTTCTTATTCACTGAGAGGTCCATCCATCCAATCCGTGCCTCTCCAATTTAGAGACAAGGATGTCGTGTGGGACTGTGTCCAATGCTTTGCACAAGTCCAGGTAGATGACAACTGTTGCCAGGGCTGCCTTAGCTGCTCATGGTTGTCCTCTCGCCACATACCCCACTCCTCACCGAGTTGCCTTTCATCAGCCACAGAGGAAAACAGGGGCAGCCAGTGGGCAGCAACACGGGATGCTGAGGCTGGAAAAAAAGCAAAGTGGAGAGAGGGAAAAAGAAGAAAATAAGGGCAGGGAGAGAGCCTTGTGGCTACTGCAACATGACCATCTGCTTTAAATCCTCTTTCTGAATGGGCAATGGCGATTCAAGTGTTATCTGCAGACACTCTCTGAAGACGTGCATTTGGCTTTTAAGCTTTGACTGTATTTGTGGTGGGTGTTGAAAGCATTTTGATTGAAATCCTGCAAATTAAACACAGCTGGTAAGGAGAGGAGGTGCTGAATTGTCACACACCCTCAAAATGGGGTTTAAACATCCTTTCCCTCTTCTTCTGATGCAATCCCTTCCAGTCCTGATTGCTATGATTTTTACTTCTTACATTTTAAATGTTATGTGTTCATTAGCCAGAGCCCACAGGTTTTCGGAGGCAGTCTGAACACTTGGAAGTAAATGTTTATTAATACATGTTTCTGTTTGACATTCTTGTCTCAGAGGAGATTTTGAATGTGTTTGTGTGGGTTTTGGGTGTTTATCTAGATTAGACTAAAACAAATAAAACTACCCATTTCCCTGTCATCAGTGATGATGTGGTTTAATTGATGTACATAAAAACATCTGCTTATGAAGCAGAAGAGTGAAGGTCAACATGCAAGGAAAATAAGCCATTTCCTTCCCACTTTTGTCCCACAGCTGAAAGCTATAAAACTGTAACTCAGTCAGCTCCAAGCCAGGCAGTATAGCAAAATTATGACATGCAGCATAGTGGGAAGGGACATGGTGGCTGTAGGGGTGAGGGAGGGGAGGAGGAATCCTCATTGCTGCTCTTCTGCCTCTTCTCATATGTAAGAGAAAAGCACTTGCCTGCCTGATGTGAAGTGACCCATTTTGATCACCGAGCCCACAGAAAATACTCTTTAACTACTAACACCAGCATGATACAGTGTTTGTTCATTGTCCATTTTTAATTCCATTTTTTGTCAAGCTGATTTATATACAGAATCATGGAATAGTTCGGGTTAGAAGGGACCTTAAAGACCATCTAGTTCCA